TAGGGTTTTGATTTCGAGTTTTGTGGTGTGTAATTCGTTATAGATAGATAGACTATATGATAGACAGCTAATCAATATGATGTGACCTTGTCGCGATTATTGGTCAATTTAGTGTAACTCTCACCACGTGATGTGACCTTGAATGTTGTTTGTTGTCTGTCACTCAATTTGTGTGTAGATGTAATTAATTAACTGTTCATTTTGTCCATACCTTCAATACTGTTCGGTACGTTTTTGTCCTTTTTTGAATGACAGTGGATTTGTACATTTTTCTTGGTGTAATTGTATGATTATTTTATATGTTTTAGAAACAGATAAAGTTTAAGTCAAGTCATTCTGTTTTAACTATAGTAAAGCCAAGACTCTGTGTCGTCAGTATTGAGGAAGGACTAAATCTGTAGGACAAAAATAATCCTACACAGTTTCGAACAGTATGGCAGATGAAAGTTATGAAACTATGCCGTCGTTAACACCACAGTTAGAAAAGAGTAATGAAGCTGATTTCCCTGGAAGCAACGAGAATAAATCTCACTATATGGTAGAATTGCAGCTATCGAAATTGCGCATAGTCCAAAAACAGAAAGAAATGGAATTAGAAAGATTACGACAAGTTAGTCGCGAATGTTCTTGTCACAATAAATCGCCTTACAAACCTACTTCTCATAAAGTCTCTGTATCTCTTAACGATGAGTTCGCCAGAGGCATATCTAAGTTTCTGGACATGCTTAAAAGATATGAGTATTTTTAGATGGATGCCGATGAACTTGATTGTTGGATCAATGAAAAACTGCAAAGCTATGCAAATGAAAATTTTTAAGAACTCAGTAATCTCCAGCTGAAAAAACAGAAACATCAAGAGTTTGAGTTCGAAGTAACAGTTCATGCTGAAACACTGTCAACTCTGGATTCTGCGGGAGAAGAAATGATTGGTCAGGAACACTACGCAACAGATATTATCAAAAACCGTCCTGATGAATTGCATGCCCTGTGGGAAAGGCTTATGGCTATTTTCAGAGAAAAATCACGTCTTATTAATCTAAAGCTTAAATTTGTCCAGTTTTACGCCAAGTCGACGAGATACTTTTCTGGATACGTGAAAAAGAAACTTACGTAACATCAGAGGATTTAAGTCAAGACTGGGAACATGCTGAGACACTTCAGAAAGGGTTCAATGAGTTTACAAAAGATCTTGAGAATCAAGAAAGTCGTGCAGAAGACATCTATCGGAAAGCAGATGAACTTCTAAAAGAGGAATTTCCTGAGGATGCCATAGTCATAGAAAAGTCCAGAAAGGTCCGCGAAGCTCTAGAACGTCTGAAGGATCTGGCTAGAAAACGACAAGGAAAGCGCCTGGAAGCCTATGAGATACAGCGCTTCTATAGAGACATAGGTAGAGCTATATCGTGGGTGAATGAAAAGTCCATTCCTTTATCCATTGAGGACTGTGGTCGTGATCTTGCCTCAGTCCAAGCCTTACAAAGGAAGCACGCAGCATTAGAAAGGGATTTGACTGCCCCAGATAAAAAGATTGTTCAACTTGGAGATGATGCTAAGGCGCTTGCACAGAAGCATCCTGATTCACAAGACACTATACAAGGCAAGTATGACGCCTTAATCACTGCATGGGATAATCTGAAAAGTCAGGCTGTAGGTAGGAGAGGTAAACTGGAAGAGTCATTCAAGATGCATCGCCTTTTGGCTGACTGGAGAGACTTGATCATCTGGATGAATGATATGAAGACGTCAATATCGGCGGATGATTTGGCAAGGGATGTAGCTGGTGGTGAAGCCCAAGTAGAGCGACATAAGGAATACACCGCTGAAATAAATTCTCGAACTGACAGTTTCGCTACATGCATGCAAGAAGGTCAGGCATTACAAAGAGTTGGCCATCCCTGTAGTGGAGACATAGCTGCTAAACTTTCCACCCTTGAAAGAGAGAGAGCCTCCCTGAAGCAGCTGTGTGAGGAAAGACGTGAACAGTGTATGGGCCTTCAGTGTTTTTACCGCGACGCTGAACAGTCGGAATCTTGGATTGGTAAGCAAGAGGCCCTCCTAGAAATAAAAGATGCGGGAGACTCACTCGATTCTATGGAAGCACTCATAAGGAAACATGAAGACTTCGAAAAGTCGCTTGTAGCACAAGAAGAAAAGATGCGACAACTTGATGAATTCGCTGCAAAATTAATCGAATCAAACCACTATGCGGCTGCATAGGTTCATGAGATTCAGGAAGGTCTTCAAAATAGACGAAATGCATTAAAGGAGAAAGCTCAGAACCGCCGTGAGCGTCTTCAAGATTCCCACCTTTACCAAATGTTCGATAGAGATGCAAATGAAATGCAGTCATGGGTATCAGGAAAACTTAGAAATGCACCTGATGAAAGTTACAAAGACTCCACGAATTTGCAAACAAATATGCAGAAGCACCAGAATTTCGAGGCAGAAATACAAGCGAACCAATCCCGCGTCGAAGATATTAAAAAGACAGGTCAGGATTTGTTAAATGCAAACCACTACAACTCACCAGAAATAAAAGTAAAGATTGAACAGTTGGATGAAACTTGGTCTCATCTCGTAAATGTCATGGGAGACAAGAAGAAAAATTTAGATCAAGCAAGTAGGCAACAACAGTTCGCTCGCAACATAGAAGATGTCGAGTTATGGTTGAATGATGTAGAAGCTCAGATAGCTTCAGAGGATGTCGGTCGTGATCTAAACGGTGTGATGAACGTACAAAAGCGGCACAACTTGCTTGAATCTGATGTAGCTGCTCTGATGATGCTGCATTCAAAGTCCAGGCTGACACGCTTGCTGCAGAAAGTCATTTCGACGCTCCTATTATCCAAGAAAAACAAAGACAGTTAGCCCAACGTTACCATGACCTGCAAAACCCTCTAAGTCAACGTCGTGAGAAGTTAAGAGATGCCCTTCCCTCGGACACATTTCAGCTTGAATATATGGTGACTATAGTGAGCTAATGAAGTTACTAGTCGATTGTTGTAAAGATTTTAAAGCACATTCGCTTAACCAAATCGAATCAGAAATGTGGCATCAGTTTGCTGAAAGCTTCACTACTGGCTCAGTAGCCACTCACAAAGATGCCTTCAGGTTATGGGTTAAAGATAAGAACCCTGTTGTTGAAAACTACATTGGTTTTATAGAGTCATACCGTGGTCCCTTTGGCGTTCGTGCAAGGTTTGAATCCTTTGTCGCTGTTGTAAATAGATCAGTGTCTAAAAAATTCCAACGACTTGTAAATAATGCTGAAAGGTTGTTAACAAATTTACCATGGCCTTCTACATTTGAAAAGGTTAATTTCTTACAGCCAGACTTTACTAGTTTGGATGTAGTGACGTTTTCAACTGCTGGAATTCCTGTTGGAACTAATATTCCTAACTATGATGATGTACGACAAGTTGATGGATTTAAAAATGCTTCTTTGGATGATGTACTTAGTGTTCGTCTCGAGGATCCTAAACCAGAATTTCTACGTAATGAAGACAAGCAAATGTACGTGGAACATGCTGAAAGTTCCTTTGAATTACAAGTTGGACTTCATGAACTGATGGGATATGGTTCAGGTAAACTGTTTCGGCGTGATTGTTATGGAAAACGAAATTTCCACACGAAAACTACTGAATATGTCATAAATGGAGGTCCTGTAAAAGGTTGGTGTGAACCAGGAGAAACGTATGACACCAAGTTTTTAAACCTTTCATCTGCAATAGACAAGTGTCAAGCTGAGTGCGTGGAAATTAATTTATCTGATTTACCTCTTGTTCTGGAGCAGTTCGGTTTGACTACCGACTGTGTTCAAGGCGATGTCTCAGATGTAGTCTATATTAATTGGTTGTCAATGATTCCTTCAGTTGTAACTTTCATTGGGCTTTATTCTCCAGCAGAAAATGCTGATTACATTGGATCATGGTGTCTAGCACATTATTTTGCTTGTTATGCGATTCTGCGAGTTTTGATTGAAGCTGACGATTTTATGGTACGTACAGATGAAGTAGTCGTTCCAAAAAGGCTTTTAACTGTGGCTCGTTCAGGAATTTGTGAATTCTTAAGGAAATTACAATATTACAAAGGTAAAGCGAATGCTATGTATGGATGTGCTTTCTTCCCATACCATATTCAACTACCTTCAAAATATTTGACTGATTTGTTCTGGCATAGATGGCTACGTGGATATCTTCTGATGCTGCAAACAAGATCTAAGTGGATGGATATGAAGCGTAACCTACAACCTGGTGATCTCGTCCTAGTTAACAGTGCTGACACACAGAGAGGTCTCTGGCCAAAGTCTATAGTTGAGCAGATGTACTATGACCAAGATGGCCGCGTCAAGACGGTGCGGGTGAAAACTGCAACTCAAGAAGTTGAACGAGATATGAGAAGCTTATGTTTGTTGGAAGAAGCAGACGACTTTGAGGTTCCAGGTACGAGAAGTCAACGTGGTGATCGTTCGCGGGGAGTGTTAATCGCGATAGATAGATAGACTATATGATAGACAGCTAATCAATATGATGTGACCTTCTTGTCGCGATTATTGGTCAATTTAGTGTAACTCTCACCACGTGATGTGACCTTGAATGTTGTTTGTTGTCTGTCACTCAATTTGTGTGTAGATGTAATTAATTAACTGTTCATTTTGTCCATACCTTCAATACTGTTCGGTACGTTTTTGTCCTTTTTTGAATGACAGTGGATTTGTACATTTTTCTTGGTGTAATTGTATGATTATTTTATATGTTTTAGAAACAGATAAAGTTTAAGTCAAGTCATTCTGTTTTAACTATAGCTAAGCCAAGACTCTGTGTCGTCAGTATTGAGGAAGGACTAAATCTGTAGGACAAAAATAATCCTACAAGGTGTTCCCCGAATTAATAATAGTTTGTGATAGAATTTTCAATAGCTTTCTGGCCCGTATTTGTTTTCGGAAGGTTAAGTGTAATGTTAACCTCTTTTTTGTTTACATAATTCTCACATATATATAGCTCGTGAAGGTGAACAGAATACAACATCAAAGAATAATAAAATTCCTTCGCAAAGTGTCAGTAGCAACGATGAAGATGAAGATGGTGAAGCATTTTTTGACGCCTACGATGAAAGTCATTCATCATATCATGATGTTGAAAATTCTCAACAAAACTCCCAATGGTTGGATACATGTTGTAAGCAATTTATATAAATTTTTCAAATCTTATGATTATCTTTCCTCTTTAATGCACGAAATGTCGAAGATTATTTGAATAGTAATATTAGAAAATGGTTAAATAAAAGAGTTATTGAATACTTGATAATAATGATGCCTATTCTGTATCCACGGTCTGAGTTGATGGTTAGTCAATGTTGATAATGGTGTCCAGTTCATGAAACTGTAGTGGATCGCTGACATTTTGACGAGTTACTTTCATTTTTCATTTCCTTCACGTTCCCCAGTGGAACATTGGGCTTCAAGCTAGTGGCTTGAAGTTTCTGTAGCAGTGTTTATTTTACAGGATGGGGTTGGTAGCCTCATGCCCAACCTTTCCTCTTTACCAGCATTATTTGTGGTTTAGCGAGGTAAAGGAGGAGTGCGTCTGTGGCCGGGGATCGAACCCCGGACCAAATGCATGGTCAATTAGCGTCCTAAGCGCTATGCCACCGACGCACTTTCATAACAAATGTAATTTGATTGGAGACTGTCCACTGAAGAGATTCATAGGAAGCATGCCTTTTTTCAAGTTTGATCATGGAGAGAATCAGTTAGTGCTGGACGACAGCTTTACTCTATAAAATTTCACAGTATACAACAACAGTTTTGCTTCTTTCTCTTGTTAAAGATGAATAACACATATCACTATACTGTTTCTGATTACTACAACTTGTTTAATTTCATTGTTATTATTACTATTATTTATTTATTTATTTTGAACAGCTAGAAAGGAGGCACTTTCTGAAGCAGAAACAATACTGAACTGGTTTAAATCGCGTCCATTGCAGTATCATTTGCATTCTCTGCTTCCACATATTATTTTGGAGTGTCTACTTACATTTCATTCATTAGGTAGGTAAGTAGGTAGGTAGGTAGACAGGTTGGTGTGGTGTGGTGCCGTATATTCATTCAAATACTGATTTCTTTAAAACCCTTTTATTTGTTACCTATCAGGTAAATATACCGCCAAAGAAAATTATAAAAATAAGCAGCAAGTGTATATGTTGGCAGTTTTCTTTCAAAAACTCAATATATGATATTATTTGTTTTTTTAATTATTTTGAATATAGCTTGAAACAACACAGTATTTTTGGTACAAGTATGGAATTCTCAGCATGTGACATCGGTAGCCCAAATTTAGCAGGCCGACCATTCATATCGGGTGACCGTCGGCAGGGGATCGAACCCCGGACCATGTGCATGGTCAGCGATAGACCTAACCGCTGTGCCACACCCTTGGTTTCCAAGTGGAGCATAGGGCTTCAACAACACATCCCCACTTTGTTCTATTTTGTGCTCTCCTCTTCAGCTGACTAGCCTCACAGTTGCCTATAATCTCTCATCTCCTCCTCACATGATCTCCTCCATGTGACTCTCGTACCGACGACCCACCAAAGCGATGGCCTGCATGTGGCGCGATGTCAGTCTACGCCCTCCCTCCCAACGTATGACCGATCCAACTCCATTTTCGCCAACATACTACTTGTTGAGCGATGGAAACGGAAAATAATCTACTGAGATGTATGTATATCTAGCTGATAAGCCCTAAATGGGATGATGAGGCATGGACACTAAATTCCACTGTCCATTACAAAGGAAAATTAAATTAAATTGTATGTACTACTGAAATTCGATTTAGTCATATATCTCAATCAACTTTCTCTCTTCATTCTCCTCAGTCCCACATCCTCAATTGTCAGACTGGTATTCTTCTTTACTAAGAAAACTTGATGAAAAAGTGTACGATTTACTAAGCATTCGTTCAATGAAATCAATGTCAAGTGAAGAAAAAACTTCGAACAATAATAAGTCCAGTGTAAGTTTGTTTATCTCTCCTGTGTTCGTGAATACTATTATTAATACTTTGTTGTCATTGATTATTATGAATGTTGTATGTTCAAGTATTGGTTTGTGGGGATTTGGTTGATTGGTTACAGGATTTCATCATGAGCTATCATTGGTTAGGGAACCATTGGAAAACATGGGAGTACTGGACAGCTGCTTCTGTTGTCCTAGTTTGGGACTCTTCACAGTACGCACCCACCGGGGTTTGAACCCAGGACCTTCTAGTTACAAGTTAGATTTCATGGGCCATTGTATCGGGTCCCAGTGGCTTAATGGTCTACGAGCTCGCTTTGTAACCAGAAGGTCCTGAGTTCGAACTCTGGTGGTGGGTGCGTACTGTGAAGAGTCCCAAACTGGGATGAAACAGCTATCCAGTACTCCCAGTTGGTTTTCCAATGGTTCTCTAACAAATGTCAGCTCATGATGAAATCCTGTAACGAATGTTGTATATGTTTGTCTAGAGTTATTTAAATAAAATTTTACCGCAAGCTGAGAACATCCTCCGCCTTACACCTATCTGTACAAGAACACGTTTTTCTGAAGTGGATTTTTAACGAAATAAAAAACGTTGTTTGTGTCCGGATAAAATTATATAAGGTGATGGGTGCTTGATTCTGGTATCTCACAGTAGCAGCATATTCTCTCTGTCCATTGTTGAACAAATCCTAAATCTGACAGGACTTGTGTCACACATTCCTCCTCAACTAAATAACTAAATTTCAAGCAGTTGAGTTTTCACTATCGATTGAAAAAGTTGACACATTGACCAATTGCTCAGTATTTTGCAGACTATATGTGTGATGTTATTCTAAAAGAAGGCTTGAAACACGTTTGACTCAGCGTATAGTAGTCTGATGTGTTTCATTTCACTTGACCACCACAATGGCGAACTGACTGGCTGACTGAGTTACAGCGCGCACCAGTTCAAGTTGGCAGGACTTCATGGACTTGCGAGACTACACACCATGAATTCATCAGCGCCGTTTAGAACGATTTTAATCCATATCACCAACAGTCTCATTCTATTGGTGCATAGCGTCCAAAGGAACTGAACCAGGCCATCTTCACCTTCCTACATGATTAAAAGCAACATTCAGTTGTTTTTTTCATGAATTGATTATCGGTTTCGACTTTGCCACCTATCACTCTTTTCGAACTTGATCAAAACTCATTAAATACTGCTCAACGAATAAGGCGGTGGCTAGATATAGCTTCATAACATAATTGATTGACTTGCCCACCTTACCTAACACTGCTGTTAACCTCTATAGTACTCAATAGATTGAACCACGTAACACGGGAGATAGAACGCAAACATATGTAGTCAAAGATAGCCAGCCACCTTCTTCATGTCTTCCACTTTCAGTGGTCTTGACTTGGTGAATAGCCTTCCGTATTTTAGTGACCCAACGAGCTACACTAGCTGCAACGGATGTTCGTGTAGGTCCTACTAAGCCTGAAATGTTTTCTGGATAGTAGTTAGATTGGAAGCAGTTAGTATAATAGTGTACATCGTATACACTCTATTGGGTACCCAATGGAATATTCGTACTGTTGGCGAATAGGGGTTTAGTAGAAACCTGCCTATTCTACTTCGCTGTGGGATGGGGGGGGGGAATTAGAAAAAGTCATCCGCAGAAGTTGTTGATTCCAAACCATCCCTCACTGGTTCTTAGCCAGCTGTAAAGTTTTCATACGGGCACAGCTTCTAAAAGCCCACGTGTGATCGGTCACAAGTAGTTGTGACATGGACTCTAGAGCTATGCATCCCTAATACTCTTTCTGTTTCATTTCAGTTCGAATCAAGTTTCATTTGTTCAATGATATAGTTCTTGAGTTTACATTGTCAGTCTAGAGAAAGTGGGCAGAAACTTCAAAAAAGAAATTAGAATGCAGTATTTTTTCTTAAGTATCACATTAACTTATGAAGAAGTGGTCGATTGCTTCGATATTTCCACTTCATCATCATCATCATCATCAGTTCCTTGACTTTCGTCGTGGAGGTGCTATGACAGTTCGCGCTATCAGTCTTCGCCATTCTTCTCGGTTTAATGCTATTTTCTGTAGCGTATCCAAGGGCATTTCAGTCCACTCTTTTATGTTGTCAAGCCAGCTCTTATTCGGTCGACCTCTCTTTCGTGCTCCTCCTACTGTGCCTTGTAGAATCGTTTTGGACAATGTGTCATGTCTTACCGTGTGGCCGAACCATTGTAGTTTCCGTTTCTTTACGATTGAAAGGAGTGGTTCCTGTTTTCCTGCCAGTCTATGGACCTGGTGTAAGACATATTCATTAGTTTTCCTTTCAAGGTAACTTATTCCTAGGATCCTTCTATAGCTTTTGTTTTCGAAGGCTTGTATTTTTCTTTCTGTCTCTGCATTCAGGGTCCAGCTCTCACATCCATATAGGAATACAGAGAGGACCAGTGACGAGTAGAGTTTCATTTTTGCTGAGACGCTGATGTTGCTCTTCCATATTTTCCCTAACTTGGACATGTAGGCAGAGGCTAGGTTTAGTCGAATTTTTATTTCCTTAGTGGACCTTCCATCTTTTGTTAGGGTAGACCCAAGGTATTTGAAAGTTTCAACCTCTTCTAATACATGTCCATCAAGTCTGATACATCTATCTGAGTTGTTTCCTCCGTTAATGAGTATTTTGCTTTTTTCTGTGCTGATTTCCATGCCCACAGATTTGGTTGCAACATCAAGTCTTGAGGTGAGGTCCTGAACTTGATCAATGTTTTCCCCAATGAGGGCTATATCATCAGCAAATCTGAGGTTGGAAATTGGTCTTCCGTTTATGCTAAGTGTCGGTGTAAAGTCATGTAGGGTTTGTGTCATAATATGTTCGAGGAATAAATTAAAGAGGACTGGTGAGAGAATGCACCCTTGGCGTACTCCTATAGTTGTTCTGAAGAACTCGCCAGTTTGATTATTTAGAGATACTGCACTACTAGATTTGTTATATAAAGACTTAATAACCTCAATTATGTTTTTATCTATATTGTAGTTATTCATGACTTGCCATAAGCCTTCGTGCCACACACGGTCAAAGGCCTTCTTAAAATCGATAAAGTTGTGTACTAGCATTTTTTGGTGTTGTAGACATTTTTCGTTTAGTACCCTTATGTTAAAAATTTGTTCAGCAGTGCTTCTGCCCGGCCTTAATCCGGCCTGTTCTTCTGAGAGTATTTCCTATACTTTCTTTTTGAGTCTGTTCAATATTACTTTCAGCATGACTTTACTTGGGTGGCTGATTAAACTTATTGTTCTGTAGTTCTCGCACTGCTTTGCGTCCCCTTTCTTAAATATTGGAATGATTAGTGACTGAGTCCATTCTTTAGGCCATTCTTTTTCTTGCCAGATTTTTTGACAGGCTGCTTTCAGCCATTTAACTGTTTGTGGTCCACCATGTTTAATTAGTTCTGCCGGTATGTTGTCAATTCCTGGTGATTTATCTCCCTTAAGTGATTTTATTGCTTCCTCTACTCCTGACTCTAGTATGGGTGAATCACCGATCTCCCTATTGTCCCAGCATGAATTGTTTATTAGGCTATAATTAGGGCTTATTTTATGATTGTAGAGTCCCTTACAGTATTCTGTCCACCTTCTAAGGATATCTGCTTCTTCTGTTAAGAGGGTGCCTTTACCATCCTCAATTACGGTTGCTCTATTCAGTTTCGTATTGGTCAGCTTACTCAGTGTTTCGAATGCTTTTTTATTGTTGCCTCCCCTTAAGCTATTATCGATGATATTACATTGTTCAGTAATCCAGCCCTCTTTTGCTCTCTTCATTTTGGAGCCTATTTCTTTGTCTACTGTTCTATACTCTTCCCTGTACTGGGAATTAAGTCCTTTCTTCTTTTTTAGTTCTTTTCTTGTATCACACAGGTGTAAAATATCGTCTGTGACCCATGGTTTGATTTTCTTTCTTTTGTTACCCAGAACTTCTGTTGCTGATTCATGCAGCACTGTTTTAATGGTTTCAGTGAGTGAATCGATATTGTCGTGAATCAACTTCCACTTCACAGTGACTTATTCGACTATGTAATTGTTTTTTTATTAATAATTGCCCAAGTACCCCGTATATGTTCTTTGCGTTTGATGTCCTAGATGATTAACGACCTATACAGCCTAACTTATTGGTTTTAAATTCTCTCCAATCTTCAAGGCTTTAACTCAGTTGTTGTGTGAATATGTGCTGGTTTACTGTTCACCATATTTACTTATATAACAGTAGCAGCTGGTCGTTGATTCTAGGCTAAATTCATTGAAATAGCCTGATATTCGGTGGATTGATGATCTGAAACACAGATTCTCGTTGTAACTTCCTTCAACACTTTATGTATACCATTTTTTTAAGAATTAACATCAATTATTTTTGGTTTGGTTTGGTTTTCATTCTCACTTTTCCTAGTTTCCCTACTCGGTATTCTGTGATGTACTAGCACTGATTTCTCGATTGTCAACTGAAATAACATGTTTAAATGAATTAATTTCGAATGCGATAATTTGTGGTAAGTTTCTCTCTTCTTTTTTTACTTGGTCTGAAAATATATCCAAAATAGATTGTTGATTAAATTATTAAATACATCATAGATGGGGTTAGTTATTGTTAAAACATGTGCACTCTATGGGACTATGCTTCTTCGATTTAGAAAACAGAAAGATTTGAACGAAGAAATATTTACTTTTCAATGAGATCCTCATCTCTATCTGGCTCTACTCTAATATATTCTGTATAGCATTTTCATTACAATACACAACAGTTTACCAATCAAGTCGCGCTGATATGTTTGTAAACAATAATTAAACAGTGTCAAAGTGTCAATGGGTTGATAATTAACGAAGAAAATCAATACACATTTAAGAAGGTAGAAATGGTTAGAATAAATTAATTTTACAAAGATAACACGTAATTAAAGATGAAGTGGTCAGAAAAAATAAAGTAATTTGGACAATTATAATTTTTATAATTTTAAAGGTTTAGTGGGATGGGGGCGAGATGGTCCGGTTTACACATTCATGTAACGATGGCCACGGTAAGGAAAGTGGCTGTACAAATTTGGCTTCTTCAGGTGGATTCCTATTGCTTCAGCTGTGTGTAGAAGACGAACTCTTAGAGCAAAATTAAGATTAGTAGGAATGCGATAAATAATTTCAAATGCTGTATTGACATCAACTTTATGCTCACTGTCTACAAGGTGTGCTAAAATAGAACTACGAATAGATCTTGTTTGTCCCTTGCTTAACCATGTTGGATGATGTTGGGAAATACGACGATGAACCTGCCTAATTGTACGCCCAATGTAGCTGGCTGCGCAGCTGCAGTCAAACTGGAGGAGGAGGCAAATTTAGGTAGTTTATCCTTATTTCTCGAACATAGAATAGGGGTGGTTGTGAAGAGACAACGTACCTCTGCTGCATAATAAGCTCTTTTAACTGCATTCTTCAGGCTCTGTGTTATTGTTTCTCTGATGTTGTTACCGAGGAACTGCAATTTTATGAACATTGGTTTTTTCGGAACTGTTGTTATACTGACTCTCCTAGGTGCTGAATTCATATTTTTCTCAATGAGTTTATCTGGATAACCATTTTTTCTAAGTAATTCTCTAATAATCTTAAGCTCCTCATTGAGGCAGTCATCTGAAAAGATCAACCTGGCTCTATAAACCAGAAACTTTATCAGGTTATATCTAATTAATGTTCAGCTACTGGATCAAACCCCACTCCTACCTACTGAAGTTTGGTCAGGTTAGTATCGTCAACAACTCATTACAGACAATGAAGAATATGGTTCATTTTCTAGCTGCATGTAAATGTGAATTATTGTTCAGTAACCTGAGATTTCCAGTTTATTCTGAGCTTTTTTTTCAAAATGGTCTAGTTATTGTGTATCTCATCCTACAGGTTGTATTCTTGAGTCTATTCACCTTCTGGACTGTTTTGAGCTTGAAACGAATAGAAAGAGAGAGAGCGCGCGTGGTTGGATTATTTTTCCGTCTAAGTGTTTGAATTGGTGTATGAGTGTTTTAGATGGTTTGAACTGAAGATAAGTAAATTTAACCATTTCCTTTTCTCCCTCTTGACTTACAATAAAAGTTTTTAAAAAAAAGTAAAATGTAATTCAGGAATTACATGTGTGGCTATTCACTTGGCGTGGCAGCAAGCCACACTTATTATATAAAGACTGGGTTGTCTTAGCGTATTACTGTAAGATTCTGAACGGCCATCATTATCCAGCTATTTCGCCTATATTCTAATAGACTATGGTGATTAAAGTGTACAATGCAGTCTAGAAGAAATATTTGATGAATGAGTCAGTGTGAAGAAACAATAAGTTTTTCAAGGCGGTAATTATCACTTGTGAATCCTAATTCAACTTTTTTACTAATTCAGCGTATTTGCACGGCTGATGTCATAGACAAAGAAAATGAAATATTGATGGATATCCTCTAAAACATTTTAAACAGGTGTAGAAGTCAATTAGTCTTTAAACCTACAATCTATACCGCCCCTGAGAAAAATGTCTTCATCAAGTTACCATATAACGGGGAAATAAACAATAGGATTTTGAGGCAAAGGTTGAGTTCGGTCGTCCGTAGGACCTATTATGCAGCCCAGCTTGTAATTGTCCAAAAAGCCAAAACTATGCTCCACTGCAAACCTCAAAAGTGCACAAGTGATTATGTCACATCACACACTATTTACCAATTTGTGTGTGTGTGGACACATGCATAGGGAGGAGTAACGTGCCTTACATGTGAGGTTGGGAGAGCATATCCCGAAATGGTTAGAAATACAAATGAATTGTGGAAAACCAATAGAAGCAGGTGTCAGACTACCAACTTCGTCTATAGCTAAACATCTAATCGAAATGAATTATAAGATTGATGTTAACCCACCCTTTAAGGTCATCTATAAAAATGGTCAAGGGCGCTTATTGAAATACGCTGAGGCTATAGCTATTCATAAACTTAAGCCCCCTCTGTGTATTCAAAAACAGTTTATTATCACTCTCAACCTACCTTGATAATCCTTATTTCATTGGATTACCAAACGTTGTGTTAATCATTCTTAAATCTTTTTTCTTTTATTTTGTCACTTTGTTTAATTTAATTGCCCTTAATTTTTTCATCATATATATCGACTTGACAAGTAAATATGTGATCAGATTGTTCGAAATGCATAGCGCAAATACATCACATTTTTCAGATAATCTCCGTCTTCTAATAACGCTATCCAAATATATAAAAGGGACTAATTGTTTTAAATTTTTGAAAAGAAGTTAGAATTCATTGACCGTTAAATAGGGTCTCAGCAGCGGCTTAATGGTCTACGAGTTAGCTTGCCTTGTAACCAGAAGGTCCTGGGTTCGGTCCTATGGTGGATGCGTACTGATGAAGAGTCCTGAACTAGAGCAATGGAAACAGCTATCCAGTACTTTCAGTTGGTTTTCCAATGTTTTTCTAACTGATGTCAGCTTATGATGAAATCCTCCAACTAATTTGTTGTTTGTTTTTTTCCTTTCACTAGGCCATGGTGATTTGTTATCATCAAACTCATTTCTAGACGCCTTGTGCCATTTATCCAGTAATATGAATTTAAAAGAAAAAGACAATTGTACATTCGAACCATACATATTCGGTAGTTGGATTGATCTGCCTTGGACTAAAGTTTCTACTAATATGATCTTAGCATTTCTTAAAACTCTATTTGACAAATGTGTGCCTGTAAGTAAAAAAAAGTGGTCTTTCTGTTATCATAATTTATCAGGTAACAGAATTTTTAAAATACAACTGTCAAGTAAGACTGCTCAATATTTGTATACAATAAATTTATTATACAGATGTGGCTGGTTGGCTTAAACATTAGGATTTCATTCAATAGGTCCCTCGTTAGAATCCTTTTGGTAGGTTACATGTCTGATTAATACTTCAGTCAGTGAATTATAAATCTTATAATGCAACCTTATAAGCCATTTATGTGCTGAATAGTCAACGGGTTGATACCTCACAAATTGAGCCTTCTAAGTAAGTCGTCGAAATAGTTGTCCAGATGCCAAATGGTTTCTGGGGGATATTCGCCTCGTTGACCTAAACTCTAACCTTTCATACAAAGTATCCCAGATTCGAATTTCGTTCTACCTACTTCAACTCTGGGTATTATCATAAACTCTCATAAGAGATATTGTGTACATGAAAAATCGGTTGTGGATAACTGAGTTCTGATTGTGCTAATTTCTTTTCACTTTGTTATATGTTATGCTGACTTTTATCCTATTTCAAACTTCATCAACTTAAATTTTCAGACTTTTTCAAAGCACCTATAAAAAGATCTCAGAAACTTTGTGACAGCATAACAGACAAAAACCTCGCATGGTTTACTGGTAGGTCCTAAGCCTGGAAAAAGAGGAAAGGTTGGGCGTGGGGCGACCTTACACCTGAAAACCAATCCACTCACCACAGAACATTCAAAACACAGCAAAAGTATGGGAAAAAATTCTACGTATTCTTCGCTGGAAGGTGAGAGAGGGAACGAAGTGGGTTTCGTGAAGGCCTTAGGGAAGCCAGTCAGCGAATGTGTATTCTTTCACTGGAAGTGAAAATAAGCATTAGGAAATGGAGTGTTCGCATGATGTTTGAATCAGTGAAAGCTGGGTTTCACCTGACGGACACACCGAAAATCAGATAGGCTTCATGTGAATGTCAAGAAAGTGGAGACAGCGTGGTAGACACAAAATAGAGAAGAAGAGTGGATGTGGGATCATACGACTAACTAGTGCGAAACGCTTTCAGGGTCAAATTCAAGACCTACAGAACAGTTGAGGATAGACCACAATTTAGGTTCAACACTCAGTAACTGAAGGATCAAACCACAAGGGACTTGTTCACAGCAGCCATCAGGACAAAGTTGGAGACACTGTGTAGTATCACTGAAGGAAGCTGTGTGGAAGAACACTGATGCTCTCTGAAAGTGATATTGGTGGAGACCTGTGTAGTGTTGTCTTAGGAAGGAAGAAGAGGCAAAACAAGCAATGACACCTGAACGATAATATAGGCGAAGGATATGATCAAACAGAAGATGAACATTGGAAACAGAAACTGAGTTCAATATACTAGGCACTGAGGAAAGAAAGAAGTGAAGACGAGTGCTAGGAAAGACAAAAAACAATTGTACGACACACTGGAAACTGAAGCACAACAGCCTGCATGTTAGAGAGACTTCAGAATATTACATCAGATAACCAGAAAGTTATCAGGGAAACGATCAGCACAGGTAAAATCAATGATGGTGATGGGGTCCTAATTACCAAGGAGGAGAAGCTAAGGGAATATTGTTCTCATCAATTAAAAGGACCGTCGCTTACAGTGTATCCAGAAATGCCAATGAACACAAGTCCTCCAATAAAAGCTGAAGTTTTTGAATGCTATCAGGCTAGTGAAGGCGCGGAAGGCACCAGGACAGGACGAAATTCCTCCTGAAGCACTGAAAACGGACCCAGATACTGCGGCAGATATCCTAGCACTATTGAAAAAGGTTTGGAAGTAAGGAAGGGTACCTACTGACTGGAAGGAAAGCTACCTTCCTGAACTACGATGGCAGGTCGACTTAGGCCTGTTCAAGAACTGGAGTGGAATAATGCCCCAAGTAAAATACTAAGTCACATCATCGTGGAGAGAATAAAAGATGTACTGGATACAGAACAGCGCCCCACTGACCAGAACAACCTGGATTCAGGAAAAGTAAATCATGTGCTGATCAAATTGCAACTCTACGCATCATCATCTAACAGAGGAAAGAATGGCAATCAAACCTGTCTCTACCTCAACTTCTTTCATTGACTTCGAAAGAGCCTTCACCAGGTAGCGTTGACTGATAAGTAATTTGGAAAGCACTTCATTACTACGGTGTGCAGTGCCCGAATCTATATCGACTTCATTCAACATCTGGCTATATGACAATGCCACGTGTCAGGTGATCCACAACGGAAAACTCAGCAAAGCCTTTGGAGTGAATATAATAGGAGTAAGAGAAGGCGACGATATATTCCTTATTGTGGTGGACTGCAAATGGGGAGCGAGAAGACAGGAATACGCTGGACTGATAAGAAAAGGCTAGAAGATCTACATTTCGCGGACGACTTATGTCTAATGTCATGTAAACTAGAATATGCATAAGCAAAATAAACAACAAGTTAGCAGAATCCTCAAGCAGTGAACACACGGCTTCGATGAGTGAATCAAGAACCTATTGCCCAACAAATATGCCAATGGAAATGGAGATGAATGCGACACTCTGAGATCGTTTAGTGACATTGGGAACAAGGTGGCGAGTTGGGCGTCCGAGGGTGATATGGAGGAGATCGTGTGAGGAGGAGATGAGAGCTTATGGCCGATAGCGGAGCCAGGTAAATGGACTGCAGAGAACAGGATGAAACAAGGATGTGCTGTTGAAGCACTATGTTCGAATCGCAACTCAAGGGAATAATAATAATAACACAGAAACATCAGTGTGGTGAATGTTTGTGATAGTGTTTTTCGTATCTGAGTGTAATTCACCTATACCACTGTGAACAATTTCCATTCACATCACCAACAGTTTCCAGTGATTGATTCTCTATATCCTGAAAATGCCAAAGAAATAACCCTACACCCGATTTTATTGGTTTGGATGAAGAGTCACAGAACGCATAGTTTAGTGACATGTTTGCCTTTGACCACACCTTACTGTTTTCCAACTTGATCCCACTCCAATTAATAATGACATTTGGGGAGAGCAGTAGATTGAGATCCATAACATCATTTTGCATTTCTCACCTGGCACTGTGTCGGATATTTGCATGAATTACCATTTTCCTCCGTTTAATATAAACAGTGGTAAGTCGTCATATCATCTAATTTCAATGGCTTAATACTTCCACAATCAGGATTTTCATCACAATCTATCTTTTCCCCGTAGTAATAAAATACACCTGGTATTACAACCACCTCTGATGGTGTATCACCAAAGCACGTATACCATACTAACGAACACTGATTACCAAATGAGGATGTGACAATTAATCCAGGGATTAGTTATTCAATAAAACTTTGGGATTAAGGCGCCGTTCAAATTTATATGGTGTTAATGTCTCTATTTTTCTCTCGTCTCTAAATTTAAGGAGAATTAAGAATGAATAAGGCACATTTTGAATGACAGCTAATCTATAGCATAGCACTGTCTGACGGGTAGTCTTTTTTGTTGTTATGAAACGAGTCACCTCTTTCCCCAACCCCCCACCTCTCTCTCTCTGTCTCTGTCTCTCACTTTCTCCCGTTTCTCTTCAGACTACTAGATATATCAGATATATCATGTAAAACAATGTTTGTTTTTTCTGGTATTTTTTGAAAATTATGGAATACTTGTTGTTTTGTTTTTTTTCATCTGAAAAAGAAAACATTTCGACCAACTTTCTTTCGTGTTCATCTTATCCTAATCTTTATTTTCTTTTCTTCTTTATTTCAACAGGCTGAATTAGCTGACAGTGAAGTAGGCAAATTCCATTTCACCAGTGTACCACAAACGTGGATACCACCGAATCGTCCAGTTGACCTAAGACGTCCAGATATGGAAGTGTATATATTTTATACTGAATTAGGTTATCCTAATCCATTAGTTAGTCGTTTAGGTTCACAACGTCTATTCATTGAATTGGCTTATGATAAAAAGACATCGAGTTATACACATTTAAAAATGGCTGGAAGTTTTAGTCAAGATACACAATTCTTTTAATACATATATGTTATTAATGTCTTTTGTATCTGTAAGATAATGTGGTTCGTATTTATAGTTGCTTTGTATTATCTGATTGCTGTTGACTTCGGTATAATAATAATAATAATAATAAAGACCACCCTGACATTAGTTCTCTTTTCTTTTTCTTATTTGTCTTTTTATCTGATGTGATAACGTGAGCTGTTATTATTTTATAATTTTTCTTATTCTTCAGTATTTTGACAAATTTTCCGTCTTTTTGTAACTCTATACTCACTATTTATTATTTTTAGAATCCTCAACTATATAGCTTAATAATTTTATAATGAATATTGAACTTTTGTTTGAATTTTGTAGTATTTCCGCATATTTTCTTCTTTTGCTTTTTATTTCCAGTATTTTACTTTTGTCTTGTGGTGAGGGGGCGGATAAACTAGACAAGATTATGTAGAGATCGTTTGTTTGATAGTGTTCTCTGAGCTTTGATGCTTCTTGATACATGCATATTTCATTACTAGGCTTGACAATGTCATCTTCAGCATATATATATATATATCTGAAGATGTTTTTCTCTTTAAATATTTTACCGAGGCTGTTGATGAAACTCTGTGCATCGAATATCAAAGCTGAAAAAACATCAAACAATATCTATCGTCATCCTGAGGCACAAGGCGTTTCTGTTAGTATTATGATTTAAAAGAAATTATGTTTTGTTTCTTTTTTTATTTATTATATGCGTCTCCATTCCACTGCGTCTTTCTCTTTCAGTTGTGAAAATGCAGACAGTAGAGTTTTTCTTCTGCATCTGAATGTATTATGAGAGATATTAATTAATCGTGAATTTAATATAAAGAATTAAAGTCTGTTGTTCACTTTCTGTTGGTTTTTGTAGCGTGTCATAATTTATAATAGTGGATTTTTTTTCCTTTATGTTCCTAGTGAAACATACGGCTTCAAGCAAGAGGCTTGAAGTTTCGGTAGCAGTGATGTTTATTTTTACAGGATGGGGTTGCTAGTCTGCCTCATGTCCAACCTTCCCTCTTTAGCAGTTTTATTACTGACTTATTGAGGTAAGGCAGTGTGTGGGCCGAGGATTGAACCTCGAATCACATGAGGCGTGGTCGGTGAGCATTCTACCTCTGTGCCACTGACGCACTAATAATGAATTAGGAATTACATTTTTTCATGTAAATAGTATAAGGCTAACATATCATGTGGGTTTGATATCGATAAACTGTATCTCAGTATAGATTTCCTCAATGAGATGAAGATCCTGCTGTTTCTTTCGATATAAGATCTCTACAGATGATGTCATCGGACTCCACCAGTCACAACTCCTTATTAAGGACTTCGGAACGCTAATTACTGACGAGTACCAAACTTGGATGAAACATTAGCCCAGTGCTTTTTATTTTTCCACTTCAAAATTAATCGAATTTCCATACACCCAAAGTTTAGTTAACATTACGTCACCACACTTTAAATTACTATGAGAAGACTAGGCAGTTGCATAGTTTGCTAATAGGGAAATTAAATTAAGGACATCCATAGAACTTCCTTTGATAGGCACTGATAAAGAATCTTTTAAAGATTTTCTCTTTTTCATTAGTTTATGAACAATGAAGATGTAAATGAAGCACTTACGGTTAGGTTTGGAATCAGTCTGGTTTTTACGAGTTTCCTATTCATGATTTGATGAATATAGACATCAAATTTCCACGCATAGTGATTGCAGTTTTCCGCATTACTTGTGTAGGAATAAAATTACCTTAACTGGAGGACTGGGGGGGGGGGGGAGATTTTAATCTTCTGGAATTTAAGTCAAAAGAAAAAATGATTTACACTTCATCATGGATGATACCATTACTTCCATCGCCTTGTGTTTTTTTTTTTTTTGCTTTTAGTCGCCTTATATGCTTGTTTTATGTACTTCGAAGTTACTCATAATTGCGATCAGTTGCTAAAATGATTTCCAAATACTTTGCAACACGAATAGATTTTAAGCCAGTGGTGATAATTTGTAAGACACAAAAAGGGGAAGATTCAAGATAATTGACCAATTTGAAAACCGATATCAAACAGAAAGTATTTGGAGGTTGATATGCATAGAATTATACTATAGACGGCGCGTCGTTGGCACAGTGATGGCAACTCGAACTGCTGCACTTCGGTGCCAAGTTCTATGTTGAATCCAGCAGCAGCAACAGTGATGGGATGCTCGCCGATCACGCCTCATGTGGTCAGGGTTTCGATCCACGCCCGATGCATTCACTCATTTACCTCGCCAAGCCAGTAATAAGACTGCTAAAGAGGGAAGGTTGGGCATGAGGCAGATTAGCAACCCCATCCTGTAAAAATAATCACCACTGCTACCGAAACTTCAAGTCTCTAGCTTGAAGCCGTATGTTGTTCCACTTGGAACGTAAAGGAACAAAAAAATGAGTTATCATTAAGATTCAATGTAGCAGTTTTTATGAAAAACTGGGCGCTGAGTGAAAAGTAGATGTATGTCCGAAAACTGAAGTTTCTGTAGCAGTGGTGATTATTTTTACAGGATGTGGTTGCTATCCTCATGCTCAGCCTTCCCTCTTTACCAATCTTATTGCCTGCTTGGCGAGGTGAAGCAGTGCGTCAGTGGCCGGGGATCGAACCCTGGACTACCTGCGTGGTCGGTGAGCACTCTACGGCTATGCCCTCAAAAAAAGACAAGTTACACACATCCAGTGAGACTTTATGTTATCAGCTGGTGCTATTTCAGTGCTGATTTCTAAGTTTGGTTGAGATTTTTCTTCGTTCCATTAGAGAAGATAAGCAATGATTCGCATTTTGTGTTTATGGGAAGTGTGTGAAGTGTAAGTAGTCGCTGAAGCTGGGTAGCTGTGATACTAGGCATATAAGTTAGACCCACAGGCCAAAAGTCCAACACCAGCACAGCATCATGAATAATTGAGATTAAATAATAATGAGATCTTTCTACATCACTTGGTTCAGTCCACATGTGACTGCGTTTATAATAGCGACTATGCGGTGAACTTAAGCCTATGAACTCTGAAAATCAGTGATAACGTCATAACTTTTGAAAAAGTGACAATATCATATAAAAAACAGTCTAAGTTCTAAGAAATTATATAAGGAGTCACTATGGGGAATGCTGGATTTCAGTAACTGAAGCACGTAAACTAGTATCTCCACTAAAAGACAGAAGAAGTACCTCCATGATCATGATCTTAGATGCAAACTGATGAAGGTGGAAAACACTGAGTCCATTTAACTCTAATTTCATTACTACATAAGAAAGTGAAGTCGTTTAAGTCTTCAAATCGCTGACTATGATCTTTTCTCCACTTTGTGTGAATATTTTAAACTTAGGCGAAATAAATATTCAAAGCATTTTAGTGAACACTACCACTCTAACTAATACTAATTTACAATAGAAATTATTCCTTTAACCTCATCGCTCTCATTCTTTTTTTTTATTCCTTTACATTCCCTATGCAGCATAGGACTTCAAGCTACAGCTTTGCAGTTTCGGTAGCGGTGGTGTCTGTTTTTACAGGATGGGGTTGCTAGCCTCATGTCCAAGCTTCCCTCTTCGCCAGTCTTATTATACTAGCTTAGCGAGGTAAAAGAGTAAGCGCATCGGCCGGTTATCGAAACCCGGACCACATGAGGCGACCATTTCACCGCTGTGCCACCGACGCACTCACTCCCATACAATTTACATAAATATACCGTTAGCTAAATACTAAAATATATGAGGTGAATTCTCAGGTGAAAAACTATTCAGGGATAACATTGTCTGCGTGGATATGATTTATTTTTATAATTATTTTTTTAAAATATTACACACTCAGATAACTAAATACAAGTCGGCTGCAATAAAATTATTCAACACTGCGGACAAAACCTCGATTAGAAGAGACACGGGCTTTTGTTTCATTTCTATATCACTGGGGAAATAAAATAAACACACCTTGACATAGTTTATGGATAATTCACAACAAAATTAAGGACGGCTAAGCCGTTTTATTTACACACTCTCTCTATTCAATAAAATCTGTCTTTATTCATTTCCCTTCGAGGTATATGTGAACATCTTTGTTCTATTAATATCCTTTTTTTTACAGAGAAACAAAGAACGGGAAAAAAAATAATTTTTCTGCACCCTTTGGAATAACATCAAGTTAGGTAATTAAACTTCCATGCTGATCGTACCTCTACTTAACGTTTGAGCTGTAGATGAGTGGATATTCCCTGTTAAATATCATCAGCATTGTACATTCAACCACTTCAAAGTAACTGAACAAACTGTCGAGGACAGTACATTTTCAAGTATTGATTTTTTCGTAGGGATTTAGTTTGATTGGATGGAGGATTTAATGATGAGCTGACATCAGTTACAGAACCATTGGAAAACCAACTCGGAGTACACGACAGGTGTTTCGTCTTAGTTTGGGACTCTTCAGCAGTGCGCACCCACCACCAAGGCGAGCTCGTAGACCACTGGGACCCGATCCAATGGCCACTTCATGAATTCCCGACATAGCGCGACCACTTCGCAGTGTCTTCTTCGATGAGTTACTGTTTCATCTTCAACCTGCTGTACCCCACTGGTCACGACTTCCGGCTAGAACCCCAGGTCACTGCTAGAAGGTCCTAGATTCGCAACTTGGCGGTGGATGTGTACTGCTGGGGAGTACATTTGTTTAATAGGTTTATATTGACCTTCAAGTGCTACATTTGAACATAAGATGACATCATGCTTATCAAATGGAGAGTAAAAGATGAATGTAAAAGAATGTAGACTTCTAAAACTATGGAAAATAACTCTGGAAGATTCATGACTAATTTGATATGATAGTGTGTAGTGAATTACATTCAAAATGTGACTCAATCAGTACAACGTCATCTTAGGGATGTTGTCTCAAATGAAAATGAATTTATACAAATTTTTTGAAGTTTGACTCTTGTATAAAGATAATTGCTCAAGTTTCTCTAATTTAAATAAAGAAAACAGG